AATGGCCACGAGTTTTGATCAATTGGCCACGAGTTTTGATCAGAGGCCACGAAGACTATAAAGCTTAAATTACAATAGGTAGAGAGGTTTAGGGTTTAGGGTCCTTAAAGGGATCTATAAGGGTTTCTACATGTTTCTATAAGGATACTAGCCATAAGGGTTCTATACCGACAGTTCCCGAAATTAGGATCCCGTTTAGGGTCCTTTTGGTAAGGGTGCCGTACTATTTTGGGGCACCTGAAAAGGGGACCCTAATTTAGAGAACTACTCGCATCCCTTAACCCCCAAGTCCCAAACCTAAAACTAGGAAGCCAGAAACGTCCGAAGCCATTAAGGGCTTGACTAAGTATAAAGAATATTCCTTAGGGTCCTTAAATATCATGATGGCACAAGATTCCCCACAACCCAAGTCTAATCATTCAGGCTCCTATCCTATGCCTTAAGCTTTAAAAAAATCGTATTCTAAAGCCAGTAAAGGAACCTAAAGAAACCATATTGTACCATTTAAGACACCGACATCCAACTCAAGGGTTAGAGATCGGACCCTCCAGGCGCCCAGCCCTTCGTGTTTCCGCAGATCACCCACGTGATTCGCGACGGCGTCATCGGCTTCCTAGCCCTTGAGTAAGTAGAAGTTAGCCCTGTGTTGGGGTAGTCTAAACCCTAAACCCTAAACCATTAACCCTAAACCCTAAACCCTGAATCCCTAAACCTCGACCCTCAACCCGACACTCTTCCAAGACCAAAGCCGCAGTCTTAGAAACTTAGTGGGCTGAAGAAGCATGGTCTGCGCATGAGATGGTGTATGGTGGTTCCAGATCGCGGCACGGTCCGTAGTGCTATTCAACCCTAGCCCTAGACCCAAAGCTTCAAACCCCAAAAGTATCCTGCGTAAAACCCCAAACCCAAATCTAAACCCTTAAACCCTCAAAAGCCTCTGTTGGGGCTCGAAAGCAACCCAAACCCACAACCCAAAACTAAACCCTGAAACCCTCAAAAGCCTGTGTGGGGCTCGAAAGCAAGGCTTAGAACCCAAAACCCAAAAACTGAACCCTTAAGCCCTTAAAAGCCTGTGTGGGGCTCGAAAGCAAGGCTTAAATGGCTCGGAGTACGGAGAACTCCTGGGCACTGAGCCGGCCTATGATCCGGAGGTGGGTTTGCAGGTTTTTTTTTGCGCTAGAGGGTTTGGGTTTAGGGTTTAGGGTTTAGGGTTTTTTGCGCTAGAGGGCTTGGTAGAGTGCTTCATAATGGGTTTGGAGGGTTTTACACGATTCTATAGTATGTTGTTTCAGGTCGCTCTTGCGTCGTTTTTGTTCAAGGCTCGTTGATTCGTTGATGCTTTACACGGACTCTCTCTCTCTCTCTATATATATCTCTATCTCTCTCTCTCTCTCTCTCTCTCTCTCTCGCTGTATATATATATATATAGCTCTCTCTCTCTCTCTGCCCATGTCTCTCTCTCTCTCTCTCTCCCTCTCTTTGTTGTGATACGGCTTTACGAGGTACACGACTTTATACGTAAGGTTTAGGGTTCGAACCCTCAACCCTAAGTTAGGGCTTCAGCTTTGACTGGAAGGTGGGCTTGTCGGCCTTCTTGCAGGCAGTTCAGACTGTCTTCCAGTGCCTTCGTTGCGTTTAGGGTTTTGGGTTTAGGTGGCAGTTCAGACTGTCTTCCAGTGCCATAGTTGCTGAGAGGATAGATTTTGTTTGCTTAGGGTTTGGGGTTGAGCGTTTAAGGTTCAGGGGCTGGGGCTACTTAAGGTTTAGGGTTGTTATGTTGTTTGGTGGCCCAGTGTCTGAAGACAACAGTGGCAACCAAAAATGGCTGCCCTAAGCCCTAAAACCTGTACCCTAAACCCTGTACTCTAAACCCTAAACCCTGTACCCTAAACCCTGAACCCTGTACCCTAAGCCCTTAACCCCAAAGCTTATTCCCTGAAGCCCAAAACCAGGGGCCATAATAATTCGAGTAGGGTTTTGGGGTACATTATACCATAATTATAACAAGGAGCCCGTAAAAGCCCAAGCCCAAAATCTTAACTTAACTCTGAACCATAGACCCTGAACCCCCAAACACCCCAAATCCCAAGCCCAACGCACCAAAACAGTGTCTTTGTCACCTTTGCAGTCCAGCATCTAACAAGAACGCCGAGTGCAAGAGAACCCTGGAACTCATACGAAACAGGATCAGACCCCGATAAATCTGCAACACCCTAGAGGGCTTGATAGAAACCCTAAAGCTCAAACCCTAAACCCTAGATCCGGAGCTCAATAACCTAAACCCTAGACCCTAAACCCTAAGCCATAAACCCGCTGAGCCCTAGAACCTGCACCCTAAAACCAAGGTTTCGAGAAGTCAAGGATCCGACAAACTTGCTGCACTCCCCACTGGATCCAGAGGCTAAGCAAAGAAGAGCGCAGCAGTGTTTTGGGGTGTTCAGGATGTTGTTTACACATTAGGTGTTTCTTTGTTTCGTCTGCAGTGTGGGTAATGTGTAGGGTTAAAGGAGTTTAGGCTTCAGGGTTGAGGGTTTCGTGTTGAGGGGTTAGTCTTTAGTTAGGGTTTGGGGTCAAAGTTTAGGGGGCAGGGTTTAGGTTTGCCGAGGATGTCTATCTGGCCGTGAGGGACCTGATGCTCTCTGGTGAATCATTCGGCAGCACCTTTGCTGGGCCTGCAGCGTTCAATCCGTGGGGACAGATCAACGGCATGCCCCCGCCTACATCCACCATCAAGGACAATGAAACCCTGTCGGTACCTTGAAGGATTCTGAACATGTTTAAGTGGTTAAGATGGGCTGTACGAAATAGAACCGACACTACATATTCAACTACAACTTCGGTTTGGGTGTCCATAGCTCTACTTTTAAGTTGCTATCCGTGAGTCCCGTGAATCCTTGCAAAGTACAGAGAATAGAAGTGCTGCAGAGAACTTTACTAAAGCCCAAATCCTAAACTCTACTTCTAAGCTCTAAGCCTAAATCCTATGCCCTAACCGTTCAAGCATAGCTCAACCTTGGAGCATGTTGGCTTCTGCTCCCAGCACTTTAACCTGTGCTCTAGTTTCCTGATATATCCGGCAAACTATACAACTTTAGCCGCGTTGCCCCTAAACCCTAAACCCTAAACCCCTAAACCCTAAACCCCAAACCCTAATCCCTAAACCCTAAACCCTAAACCCTAAACTTCCTGCAAGCTAAGGTACTCTTCCCACCGGAGTACGCGGACGCCCCTTTCAATTACCCGTTGCCAGCTGCGCGGACTTGTGAGGAAGACTGGCTCCTTGGGCTTTCTTGGGCCCTAAACCCTAAACCCTAAACCCTAAACCCTAAAACCCTAAACCCTGAACCCTAACTGTGGGTCCGTTACAGCGCACCCCTGAGATCGAGGACCTGAAACCTCAACCCGACAGGGTAATATAGGGGCCTTAATAATTACCTACACTATGTTTTGGGGTTCCTTTATTATAATTGTACCTACACTATTTTCTGGGGGTTCCTTGCTATGATTATAGTATATTGGCCCCAAAACCCTATTCTAATTATTCAGGCCCTTACACCAGGGTTTAGGGTTGGGGGTTTTGGGGTTCGCTCGCAAGGGTTGGACAGGAGCCACCCGTGCGGTTTGCTAGGCGTGAGGCCGGGGATTGTTGGGGCGGGACTTTTTTTTTGCTGTGGCTGCTCTTTTCTTCCTAAACCCTAAACCCGAGACCCTAAAACCCTAAACCCTAAACCCCTAAACCCTAAACCCCTTAACCCTTAACCCTTAACCCTTAACCCTAAACCCTGAACCCTAAGCCCTCCTCTTGGGGCTGCTTTCTGCTTGCTCCGCCGCCGCCCCACATGCACTCACTCACAGCCACGGGCTTGCATGCAACAAAAAAGCGGCTGGTGTACTGCATCGGTTCGAAAAAACAACCGGAAAAACAGAAGAGGCCCTAAACCCTAAACCCTAAGCCCTAAACCCCTAAACCCTAAACCCTCTGGTTTTATCCGAAAAGATTTTTTTCTCGGCCGCCCCCGGCAGGTTCTAGAGCCAGCAGGCTCGAAACAAAAAGAAACCTCTGGACGGCAGCAAAAAGTCGTTTAGTACCCAGTGGCAGCGGCCAGGAGCAAAAAGGCAGCGGAACAAGAAAAAACACCCCGGCCCGTGTTAAGGGTTTCCTTTTTCAGGGTTTCTCAAAAAGGAGTTCCTTTGAAGGCTTCCTTAAGGTGTTCCTTTTGGGCTTTGTTTTTTGCCCCCAGCATCCATATCCATGAGTCCTGAACCCTTGAATAAGCTCCAACGACAGTTCCGGAGAACAGGAGCCTTGTGCAGGACCCTGAGCAAGGCATCCCCCATGTCGAGAATCCCTACACAACCCTCAAAACCCCTTTGTGAAATCTCTATATAGGCTTAACTGACCCCCATAAAGCCACACACCTTTCAGGTACAAAGTTTGGAGACCGACCAATGAAAGCTGCCTTCTCTGTCACGCTGACTGTCGACCATGCCCTGCAAATAGCCAGCGCGACGGTGAAGCTTTCGCCTGCAGCTGCCGCCGCGGTTTCTACGAAGCTACGGCTTGACATATACCCTAAACCCTACACCCTAAACCCTAAACCCTACACCCTAAAGCCTAAACCCTACACCCTAACCCCTGAACCATACACCCTAAATCCCAAACCCTTACCGGTGCTTTTCGGTCAGCCATCGACTTTCTTGCAGTGATCATCATCCCCAACACCGGCCAGGGAATCATCCGAAATGTCTTGAACATGCAAGGGAACCCACACATCCGCTACCTGCTGTAAGGGTTCTACAATATAGGGGTTTTGAGAATTACATTCTCAGTAGTAGAGGAGGTAAGCTTTAGCCTTTTGACTGCATCATAATCCTTTTCTAACATTCCAAAAGACTAGCCATTCGTTCCGATAGGATATTGGGCAAGTAAGTAAGCAATAGAATTTTGGGTGTAAAATCTATCAACACTTTCAAAAGAAGCTTCTATTTTTGGAAGTAGGTTTGTTATGTCTCGTGTCCACAATCTTCCTTTCGCGCATAGAACACAAACTGCCCCACGACCCTAAGCCCTAGATATCAGCGATCGGCCGAGGAGGGGTCGGACTCTGAATGTCTGGAGTGCCCCACCGGGGTGATCTGTGAGGCCACGGGGTGCGGGCTTGCAGTGGTTAGTATATTCACGTTTTATGTTTGTATGTATATATATATATATATAAAATCAAGTTTTAGTTCAAGTGTTGTTTATAGTTCTATTTAAGTGTGTTGATATTTATGCTTATATTCATGTTAATATTCACCCTTATCCTCACACCCTAAACCCTAGTATAGAAGCTGCGGTGCTTTGATTCGGGAGCTTCGGGGATTCTGGGGGTTAGGGTTTGGACCAGAAGATCGGTCTAGGTGCGAAATAGAAGGATTCTGGATAACGGGACTCTTATTTCTAAGGAGCGCTCTTCAGCAGCCTCGCTAAAGAAAGTGTTAACAGCATTTGACCATTGTTTTTGGGTTTTAGAATCCGGAACAATTGAGACCCAGTATGGGAAAGTTTAGCTTTGCAGGGTTTGGGGTGTAGGGTAGCCTGAACTGTCGGACCATTCTCCCCAACCCCCGCACCTCAACCCCGGAGCCTGAACCCCCAAACACCAGGATCCTGAACAGTGAATTGTAGGATTTAGGGTTCAGGATTGCTGCGGTCCCAAGGTCAAAAAGCAAACATCTACAGGTAATATAGGGTTCTGAAAAATCGTATCCCCCTAAAGTCCCCACATAGTTGTATTCAGTATCCCCACCACGACTTTGTCTGATTTTGAACGCCGCTGGGCAGTTTTACTTCCACCCCCGGTGAGGATCCAATTGCGAGGTAGCCGTCAATGAAGCCTTTTACACGGGTTTAAGGTTCAAGGTTTAGTAGTCTAGGGTTTGGAGTTTAGGGTTGGCATCTACGGTTACGGGTGCAACATTGAAAGCTGAGGGGTTTTGACAATGTCAAGCCACCTGCCCACCAAAAGCCATGGGGGGGTCCACTGTTTTGTACCCTAAACCCTAAACCCTAAATCCTGAACCCTAAACCCAATGTTTCTTCGGTTAGCGGCGACCAGAAACCCTTAAAGCCCCAAAACCCTAAAGCCCTAAACCCTGACCCCTGAACTTCAAACCCAAACCCGTGAAGCCCCAAAACCCTCAAACTTCAAAGCCCGAGGCCGAGGCCTCCAAAATTCTACCTCCTGAGCCCTGAACCCTAAACGCCTATCCTTACACCCTAAACCCTAAACCCTAAACCCTAAACCCTAAACCCTAAACCCTGAACCCTAAACCCAAAACCCTAAACCCGAAACGCGAAAACCCCCCTTTGAAGGCGCCAGGCTCCGAGCTGGTTAGCCTGAACCTCTCCAGAGGCCAGGTGCCCAAAGGAATATACCTCAAACTATAATAGGAATCCTACCATGCTTTAAGGTATATCCCCCAAAACCCTAAACCCTGAACCCTAAACCCTAAAGCCTAAACCCTAAACCCTAAACCCTAAACCCTAAACCCTAAACCCTATTCCTGAATTAAGGGGTTTCGGAGTCTCTGGGTG